CGCCTTAAACGATTTATGGACGTCTGTCAAGTTGAGCTAAGGCTACTGTTGTCTTATCCCTTGGCCGGGCTATTGATGGACTAAACTGAATGGTGAAGATCTCTATATACTTTGAAGATTAAAACAGGTTTCCGAGCTGGTTCTTTTTAAGTTGTAATATATATGAGGACCGGTGTTCCCGAACTGGGGGGTATATTCTCATATAGACAATCTGGTAGTTGTTTTTGACTTTATTACCCGACTCTTGTAAAGGGGATTTGACGCTCTTTATGGCTTTGGCTGTTAATGCCGAGGTGTTGAGTTAGAAGGGAGAAAGTGTATAACGAGGTATTTTAACTCGGATTTAGTTTTGGCTTTCTGAGGCGCTAAGTTTGAATTTCTTGTTGCCGAGGTTCATTTCGAAGTAGACGGTATCAAAGTTTGATTATAGACCGGTGTTCCGGAGAGGGTGAATGTGTTTGCCGGGTTTTAAGAGTTCGCCTCAGTTTTAGAGAAAGCGATGTAGTCTCGACTTATAATCTCGTGTGCGATGGCGAACCGTGGCGACCGATACGTTTTTGGTCTGAAATTTGTATAGCGCGCTTGATTTTAATCCATAGAAGATGTAACTTGCACCTTCGTCCTAGGAAAGGTGGTAAAAGTTCGTTTAAAGAACTTTGAGATTGTTGTCTCGTTGTGGCCAGCAACGAGGCGAGGTGTTTGAAACTATATATCAGAAAGTTTTGCCGAAGCGAATGCAAGGACAAATAAAAGTCTAGGCGAAGTGAAAACTAGTGAATGAGTGACTGAAAACAAGTTTCTCAAAAATCTCCGAAGTGACAATAAGTGAATGAAAAATTAGCCGAAGTGAAAATAAGTGAATGAAAAATTAGCCAAGTGAAAAATGAATGAAAAACTAGCTGAAGTATGAGTGATCCTAGAGACAGTAGACTTGACGAGCTAAAAATCTTAAAATGATGTAGGTATAAGTGTATACGTACCCACTCCCCCCCCTTTTTCGGAGGGACAGCTGAACCCGTCCGAGGATGGACTGCCTACGTACCGTTTGCAGGGATCAAGCCGTCCCGTAGTTCATGCTAGTCGTGCTGTAGCTTTACTGATAATACTTCTTCAGGTGCATTGCGTTCCACGATCTTCGAATTGCTTCGTCAGCTATTGTCGCGAGTTCGTAGACTCCTGGGCGAACTACTTTCATAATCTTGTAGGGGCTTTCCGAATTCGTTCCGAGCTTTCCTGCATTCCTCTCGGCAATGTTTTGGAAAACTTTTCGAAGGACGAGCTCTGCTTCTTTAAACCTCCGGCTTCGGACGTTTTTGTTGTAGTACCTCGCTGTTGCTTGTTGATAGTTCTGGACTCGGATTAAGGCCATGTCGCGCCTTTCGTTGATTAAATCGAGCTCATCCAGCATCATCAAGTGATTCAAACCATTCTGTCCTGGCAGAATTTTTGGTTGAATTCCGGGGAAATCCACCTTGGGTGGGATCACACACTCTGTTTCATAGACGAGAGAGAATGGGATTTCCCCGAACTCAGCGCGGAGTTGTCTGATGCGACCAAAGGACTCCTTCGAGTTCGTCTGCCCATCGTCCCTTCTTGGCATCTAGCCTCTTTTTCAGGCCGTTTAGGATTTTCTTGTTAGCTGCTTAGGCTTGTCCGTTTCCTTGGAGATATTTTGGCGTGTATTTGCTCAGACGGATTTTCCATTTCTCACAGAAAGCTTCGAAGCGAGTCGAGATGAACTGAGATCCGTTATCGGTGACTATCTCGTAGGGAACCCCGTGTTGGCAAATGATATTTTACCAGACGAAGTGTTCAACCTGAGTGTCATTTATGCTTGCGTAGGAGTCTGCCTCGACCCATTTGGAGAAATAGTCTGTAAGGACAAGCAGAAAACGCTTCTGCTTTGATCGATGTAAAGGCCCGACTATATCCATCGACCATCTCATGAAGGGGTAAGGCGATGAAATAGACGACAACAGCTCAGCAGGTTGATGGATAGTCGGCGCGTGTCGTTGACATTTCTCGCACTTTGCAGTGAACTTTTCACAGTTCTTGACCATCGTAGGCCAGAAGTACCCGTGCCGTTTTATCTTAATCGCTAGTGACCTTCTGCTAGAGTGATTACCACACGCGCCGCTACGCACCTCGTGCATTATTTTTCTCGCTTCGAGTCCTTCAACACATGTCATTAGTGGTCATGAAAACCTCCACTTGAACACCTCACCGTCAACGAGGACGTATCGTGCATCTTGAGCCCTTAAATAGCGAGCTTCCCACTTGTTGAGTGGCACTTCTCCGTCGGCGATGTTGACTCGAATAGCTCAGAGCCATTCCTTATCACAGTCGTACTCCAGTTCAGCTGACGAGGCGTCTTCTTCCATTGCGATTGCTTTGCTGTTATCTGGTTCTTCCTCCGGAGGGTTGATTAGCTGAACTTCTTCTACCTCCTCTATGCTCGGACGTTCGATGAATTCGACCAAAATTGTTCGTCGGAGATCCGGGTCTGAGGTCGAGTGCTAAGGCGTCCGCCGAGGTGTTTTTGCCTCGGGGAATTCACGTAAGCGTGAACTCGTCAAACTTTTGTACTAAATCCTGGACTACTCTGTGGTAAGCTCCCATTCTTCCATCCTTCGCCTCGTACTCTCCGTTTAACTGATTTGCTATGAGCTGTGAGTCGCAAAAAGCTCATATTTTCCGAACTTTGATTCCTTGCGCTAGTCGTAGGCCAGCGATCAGTGCTTCGTACTCTGCTACGTTGTTCGAGGCATAGAAATTCATGCGGAAGGACTGCTGCAAGATCTCTCCGGTGGGCGAGGTGAGGCGAATTCCTATTCCCGAGCCGTGTTTGGATGACGAACCGTCGACATGCAGCGTCCAAACTTCATCAGGAGTTGGCTCTGTTGTTGCCTCGGTCGGAAGTTCGACGAGGAAATCTGCGAGCACCTGGGATTTTGCAGACGACCTATTCCGATACTCGATATCATACTTGCTCAACTCTATGGCCCATTTTGCGAGCCGCCTAGATTGGCTCGGGCTGTGCAGGATCGAGCGCAGCGGAAGGGTCGCGAGCATAATAATCGAATGCGATTGGAAGTAAGGATGCAGCTCGCGAGCTGTAACTACTACGAGTCTTAGCATCGGTCAATGTCTGACTGATGTAAAAGATGGGTTTTTGTTTGGACAGCTCTTCTCTTATCAATACTTCGCTTACAGCCGTAGCGGATACAGCGATGTAAAGGAAGTGGGGTTCTCCTTCTACTGGTTTCCCCAAGACTGTCGGGCTTGCTAGATAGTTCTTCAACTCCTCGAAAGCTTTTCGCATCGCTCGTTCCACTCGAACTTTTTATTTCATCGAAGGACATCATAGAAAGACAGACACTTGTCGGTAGATCGAGAGATGAATCGGTTTAGCGCCGCGACTCTTCCTGTGAGCCTTTGAACTTCTCGCTTCGTTCTTGGAGAGGCTATCTCGATTAACGCCTTGATCTGATTGGCGTTTGCTTCAATGCCTTGGTGTATCACCAAATAGCCGATGAACTCTCTTGAGGTGACAGCGAATCTACACTTTGCTGGGTTTAGTTTCATGTTGTGCTTGTTTAATTGGTCGAAGCATTCACGTAGGTGCACGATATGGTCTTTTTCTTCGAGCGATTTGACCAGCATCTCGTCGATGTATACTTCCATGGTTCTTCCGAGCTGATCTGAGAATATCTTATTGACGAGCCGTTGGTACATTGCCCCAGCGTTTTTGAGTTCGAACGGTATGCCTTTATAGCAATATATCCCACAGTCGGTTATGAACGCCGTTTTTTTTCTGTTGTCGGGATGCATTAGGATTTGGTTGTAACCTGAAAACGCGTCCATGAACGTCAACAGCCTGTTTCCCGCTGTAGCTTCGACGAGCCAGTCGATGTGCCGTAGAGGGAAGCTGTCTTTTGGGCACGCCTTGTTGAGATCTGTGAAGTCTACACAGACTCGCCACTTGTCGTTCTTCTTCTTCACGACTACTGGGTTTGCGAGCCAATCCGGGTATTTTGCCTCGGCGATTGATCCTACTTTGAGCAATCTTTCTACTTCGTCGTTGACAGCTTTAGCTCGTTCAGGGCCGAGCTTCCTCCTTTTCTGCTTGATTGGTTTGAAGGTTGGGTCTACGTTCAGCTCGTGACAGGTCACATCGATGCTTAATCCCGGCATATCCTCCGCGGTCCAGGAAAAAGTGTTCATATTTTCATTAAGGAAGGAGAAGAGTTTGTTCTTGAAAGGTTGTCTCTGGATGCGCTTCGTCTAAGCACACCGAGTCCACCGCATCGCATTCTGGCTCGGTGCGTATTTTGCTGCTCTCCGAAATCTGTAATTGCTATAAGAGTTTTGAGAGCTCGTTCGCGGGCTCTCGATCCGTCTTCAGCTTCTTGCGATCCACATCTGCGTGTGCGTCGGTGACAGGGTTCCTCAATTTATGCTCCGTCAGGAAACACATTCGCGACTCCTTCTGATTTCCCCAAATCTTTTTGATGCCTGCTGGAGTCGGGAACTTGAGGCAGAGGTGATAGGTGAAAGGGATCGCCCTCATCGCATTTATCCATGGAGTCCCCATGATCACGTTGTAGATCTCTGGGTGATCGGTGACAGAGAATTCGACGATCTTAGTGACTCCACCGGCCACCACGGGGAGTCTAATTGTGCCCATCATCATCCTTGTTTCTCCTGAAAACCCAGTTAGAGGCTTAGGCACAGCTGTCACCTCGGAGAGGTCGATTCCCATCCTTCTGAGTGTCTCCCTAAAGATAACATCTACCGAACTCTCGGTGTCGATGAGTACTCTTGCTACGTCATGGTCTCTGATCGTCAGCTCGATCACCAATGGATCGGTGTGTGGTCTGTCTATCCCTGCCGTTTCCTCCTCGGCAAAATAGATTACTGTGTTCGGGATATTGGTCGGCTCGGTCCAAACGTCCTTTGCTTCGGCTTGACACTGATAGGCTTTGATGGAGGATACCGTATCATGGTACACCCATGATCATGTTGATCCTTTGCCTCGGCTCGGGTCGTTCTTCAGGTTCGCCTCTCCTGTCGCGCTTGGTATTATCGCCTCGTCGCGGCGGATTTCTGGGTTCTGCCGCGCCGTTCGGCTCGGTTCCCTCTTTTGGCTCAGTAGGGGTGAGGTCTTTTAGATTCACCGCGCTCTGGATTTCTCCCGCTGCGAGTTTTGCTTCTAGGGTTCGGCATTGCGCCGTTGAGTGCCCGTGGGTTTGATGATACTCGCAGAACGCCTTTTCGTCGTAGTTAGTGGGCCTCCTTACCCAAGTGTTGCTACACGGCTCTCCCATTCCGCGTCTGATACCTACTTGGTAGTTGTGGGCGCCTCCGCTTCTTGGTTTCTCCGAGCTCTGCGTTGTTGCGTTGTTTGAAGGGTTACCTTTCTTCGAGGAGCGCGTTAGGATTGAGCTCCGGATCGCTGCTTTTGTCGCTTCATACTGCTCGTCCAAAACTTTCATTTCTTCTTCATTTATGATGAAGTCTGACGATCGATGTAAGGCATCCTGAATTGTTTGCGGCGTGTTGAGGGCCATCTGCAGTCGAAATTCGGATTTGTACCACAAAGATCGCTTCAGAGCCTCGAGTGCAGCCTTGTCGCTTATTCCTTCTGCTTTGGACACAACTTCCTTGAATCTTTCCATGTAGTCCCGAAGCGGTTCGTTTGGTCCTTGGGATAGTGTCCATATATTGGCGTCGGAGGTTCCTCGATCCATGAACATCGAATACTGCTTGAGGAACAAAGCGGACAGCTGTTGGAAGCTGCTGATTGAGATACTCTCCTGTCTCGAAAACCATTCCAGAGCGGCTCCCTTGAGATGCTCTACGAATAACAGACAATAACCGGCATTTTTTTCCTGCTCGGTCAGATTGGCAGCATTCCTTGTGAAGGCTCGTCCCATTGCTATCCTAGACGCTGTGATGTGCGCCTTCGGGTTGGTAGTGCTTTCGTAGAATGGGATTCTGACTTTCCCAGGTTCAGGAATCCTTGCCTCCGTGATTCTTGTTGTGAACGGTGTTCTCTGGGTTTCTTCAAGCAGTCGATCAATCTCCAGCGCGGCACTCGTCGCGTTATGCACTTGAGATTTCATGGCGCGTATCTCGGCCACTGTCCGAGCCATCGAGGCTCGCAGCTCTTCGATCTCGAGGGTTTGTGCACGGGTCATTCTCTTAGATTAGCGAAGTCGCTCCTGATCTTCTCTCCTTGGCTCGTCTTCGTACTCTGCCTGCTCGACCCATTGGAGATTTTCCTCTTCCTCAGTTGGGTTGTTGTCGCGAACCGGGTCGGTGGCTTCGTCAGCCTGAATGTCATTTAGTACCGAGGCAAGTTCATCATGTTTCGCATCTCCTCTTGGGCTTCGGTTGTCACCGTTGTTGTGCCCGATGGCGGGGCGTCCTTTTCCGCGTCGTTGTCGTTGTTGTTGTTGTTGTTGTTGTTGTTCTCATCATTGGAGGTGTTGCTCGCCATTTTCTTCAGATCTTAAAGTCTTGTCGATTTTAGAGTAAAAAAAGTTTCGAGTTCCTCACAAACGGTGCCAAATTGTGTGTACTACCAGAAAAAGATGAAGCATGGTGCGTTCATTAAAATGCAAAAAATGGAGCCATATAGGTGTTCATAGAGTATGTATTCCCTCGGTATTACCCAAGGCTGCACCATTAAAGACATCGCAGCAATTGGGCATTCTTATTTTTTGTTTTTGTTAATCTTTTTCCTTTCTCATTACTATTCTTGATTTTAAGGGCACGATGTCAAATGTGTTGATGTTGATTTCTTGTATCAAAACACATACCTGAAGAACTGTATATTGTTGTTTCCTAACTATATATACGAAATGTTCTAACCTTAACCCCGAAAATGTGCAGATGTTTATGAATTGGGTCATAGAAAACCTTTACGTCTCCTAGGCTTTGTACAATGGCTTGAGGTCGCTCCAATAAAGATTCCATCGATCTCCAGAACGGAGAAGCCATAAAAAAAGATTTTGTCTTCAAACCACATAACAAGCTCAAGGGTGTTTCTGGCATAACAGGTTTTGGAACAATTGGCAAACACCTAGAGCACAATGTCGGTTATCATGTAACTAAAACTTAAAAAGTGGGTCAGAGTGTAATAAACTCTAAAGAAATTGAGTTTAAGGCATAGCTCATCTATATCTTTCTGACATATTAGTAGCTCATATTGTCTTCATTGTATCGCCACAGCGATGTCTTTGTTAACAAGTTTCATGTGTCAACATGCCAATGTCCATGTCACTCAAGTTCCTATCTTACAGATATGAATATTTTTCACATTATTCCATCACCAAAGAAAGACTCTTTCAAAAAATAAAAATACAATATTTAAACGATATTTGTGTAATTATGACCGTATAATTAAATTTTAGATTAATAATATCTGTATTTAATAACTTAGAAATTACATTTTGTAAATTCAGTAAAGAAACTCCTAAATTAATCCAAATTACCTATAAATAGAGTTGAAATTATTATCTGCTATCCATGATCCGTTCCGCTCCGAAAAATTCAGATATCAAAGAGGGTCGGATCCGGATAGTAAAACCCCATCTCAAAGAGGCTGTCAAACTTGTCTAGCTTCGGCTCGTAGTGCGTCTTCATCTGGTTGAGTTATTGGTATAGAACAACTGGGTTCTCGACACTCCAATGAGATGAAGCCGAAGCAACAAAGTTATCTCAGATAGATCCCATCCTGATATGATCATGAAAAGCAATGAAGATTTGGAGCTTGAGCCAGAGGCTGGAGAGGAAGTAGCTGAGGAGTTAGAAGAACCATTGCATGTTTCAAGGGATCCAATGACTAGATCAAGGTCTAAGAAGCCGTTGGAGCCATCATCATACACAGTTTGGATTCAAATCATGAGGAAAAGGAGTGCAACGCCGACACCTTAGTTGTGATCCAGGTCCAAACGACTTAGTAGGCTTGTGATTCAACTTTGTACTCTTTTTCCCCATCTCTAGTTTTGTCCCTATGGGTTGTCTAGAGATGGGTTTTTAATGAGGCAGAGTTGGGTCGCCACGCCTAAGTCCACTAAGTAGAAACCCAAGCTGAATCAACTACAAGAGGAGCGTCTAAGTCTAGTTCAAACTTGCCAGCTTGTATTTTTATTTCCGAGATGTTTTAATGTTTGCCAGACTCATCTCTTCTCCTTCTTTATATTCTCTTGTAACGCTATAGTATCCATCATCTTATATTTTATTCTAAAACTCTTTCCAAGAATAAGATCTTATTTGTTGGTGTGTTATATCCTTCGAACAAACCTTGAATCAACACTGTGTGTTTTATATCACTTAGAATATTCAAGTGGCCTATCAAAAGTAATCCGCAACTCTTGTGTGTGTCCATTCACTTCCACCTCTCTTGATTCAAAATTTGTTTGTCTGCAAGATCTATCCTTTTTATTTCCAGTCATTAGAATGTCGATCAAAGGCAGATCCTATCCACGATCATATCACATCCCCAAAACCCTGCCCTTTTTCTTAGAGCAACCTATAAAAAATAACGAGAAACATATATATATATATATATGTTTGTTCGTTCATATATATACATATATATATGTTTATAGAATCATATACATATATACACACATATATATATATATATTTGTTAGAAACTATTGATAAAATAAAGATGTATTTATAGAAACTTTTAACTTTCCAACAAATTTTTAACGTAATATTACATAGATTTTACAATAACATATATATATATATATACAACAATTTTACAACGACTTTACAACACATTTACGACGAACAAATTCAACGTACACAGTAATACGATCTTGATCATCACTCTATTGAAGGATTCCGTAGAGGATAAGCCTTGTGATTGCGAGCAAAAGCGGGGTTGTTGTTTTCGTTTTACTAAGCTTCAGTTTTTACATTTATAATCCCTAAATGTCTGCAAGTGCACAGATGTGCGCTGTAGTACTTAGGGTATCGATCCACAGAGACTTAGTTGTTTCAGTACGAATTCACGGCAATGCTTAAATCAGATTAGAACTAAACAGATTTGGGTTTTGATTGTCACGAAATCTAAACTAGAAAGTTAAACAAGTAAAATGAATTAAAAACAAGAGCAAACAAAAGCAAGTAAAAATCGAATGGATCAAAGGCGAATTGAAGCAAGTAAAAGCAAATGAAAAGCAATAGAATTGAAGGTTGTAAGCAATGAAAAACAAACGTTGGGCATCAAGGGGAGTTCGCAGGGGTTCATGGTCTATGCTAAGTGGATTTCAAACAAGTGATAAAGGTAATCAACTACGTATGTTCTAGAACTCGAGGCGCGGAAGTATGAATAGTCTACTTTCGCAGCACTAAACAACTATCTCTCGCAACCATGATCAGTAGGTTTCCACTTTGATCCTGGAAGGGAGAAGATGCAATAGAAGAACAAGACTCATCAATATTTACAACTCAACTACAGGTAGGTTTCCACTCCTATAGAATTATTGCTCGTTTCACCCTAGTTCAGTCAATCAATTAAAGCTTTCGCAACATATCAGATCGACTTCTAAGTGGCCAGCAGAGAATCATGCAGTAAGATTAAAGGCAAACAAAGAACATCTAGAAGATTAATAATCCTAAATCTATAAATTCATAAGCAAAGACACATGAAATTCCATTTGAAAAATCCCGTTAAACCCAACTGGGTAACTACTCAAACATATAGTAAACAATCATCACAGAGTATTGAAAGTTGCAGGAAATGAAAGAAAAGAGGGAAGAAAAACGAAGAACAGAGTCGACGGCGGAGGCACGATGATTTCTCTCCTTCGGCAGCTCCTTATTTAAAAACGGCGGCCTCTCTCTCTCTAGGGTTTGTGAGTCCCACGAAAATCTAAGCACAGAAACGAACACACCCTTTAGAATGACCTAAAGGGGGGGTATTTATAGCTTCTGGAGTGATCCTGGACACTTAGGGCTTCAAAAATAACGAAAGGAATTGATCTGGACTATAATTAAGTCGTCTGGAAAGTGAACGACCAATGTCCGTGGTCGCGGTGGCTCTACCCGCAGCAAAATGGGTGTTGGCCGCGGTCCCGGCACATGTCTCTCTTCCGGAACTGCATTTTCTATCATTGTTGCATCGGGAGTATCTAAAGATCTAACCGTTGGATTGTCTCCAAACCAAGTGAATTAGAAAGCTGGTTGGATCTTCTATGTTGTCTCAAATTTTGGGGGTGATCAGACGATGAGAAGGTCTTCATCGCTTGTCATACTTCTGACAGTCTGTATTTATCCAAATTGCTCATTTGTTCCAAATTGCATATCTTTTGCCCAAGTTTTCTGTAAAGTCTTTTGAAACTCTAAAACATTGAAAATACTTTAAAAAGCATTGAAAACAGAGTTAAAACACCTGCATAAGATATAATTATGATCCATAAAAGTGGTCAAAATACGGTGTTATCAACTCCCCCCGACTTACCTTTTTGTTTGTCCTCAAACAAACTTAAGTCAGGAAAGAAATTTTTAAAAATCGCAGGAACTAAAAAATATCTCAGTGACCGTCCTTCTAAACCATAACTTATCGTGAAACATCTATTTGGATCTAGTCTAGAAAATTCTCACCAAAATACAAGCGAAACTAATACGTTAATCCGTCATGCGAAAATCTACACACTTAGATCTAACTTCCAGTCAACTAGCTCTCTATATTCATTAAGTATATTGTGAGTTCTCATCAAAGACATTATTCAGGGTAGACGGCGTTTGGCATTATGGCTATTTAAGTGGTGTAGTTTATGTGTTTTGGGTTACCTGAAGAATATGGAGGATGCAAGATATTATGCAAAACCGCAAGAAAGAGAAGGACCTGTTGGTGATCGCAGATTTTCAGTCACTTCTCCTTTGCCTAATGTTGTTGCATACTCTTCCTCCTTTGTTGTAAACAGCTGTTCCCCCAGACTTAGATCTTTTCCGAGAATCATAAAGATAATCTCCAAAACTCCAAATGATCAAATCAAACTTGCCTCATGGATAAATTCGATCCTCCTAGACTCTCTAAGGTTTTAAATTTCCTTTCCCTTCTATTTTTTTTTTCTTTTCTTTCTCGTTTTTTTTTTTCCGGAAAGAGAAAACAACCTTTTATAAAGATAGTCTAAGGGACAAAATTGTACCAAGATTTTTGAAGTTTTTCTCTTTT